GTCGGCTTCGGCATCGTCTGCCTCATCAGCAACCTTCAGCTGCAGGTCAGCCAAGGGGGTGGAGGGGGGGGCGACCCCGCTAAGGGGACCTGACCCCGCTAAGGGGACCTGACCCCGCTAAGGGGATCTGACCCCGCTAAGGGGACCTGACCCCCAGTGCCTTCTCCAGTCATGGCAGAGGAGTGCCGGGGTCGAGGACTGTGACCGTAGCAAGAGACGTTCCAGTACACTGTGGGTGCTGTGTGTGCTGTGTGTAGTGAGTGTACTGTGTGGGGTGAGTGAGTGTACTGTGTGGGGTGAGTGAGTGTACTGTGGGTGCTGTACGTGCTGTGTGTAGTGAGTGTACTGTGTAGGGTGAGTGAGTGTACTGTGGGTGCTGTGCGTACTGTGTGTAGTGAGTGTACTGTGTGGGATGAGTGAGTGTACTGTGGGTGCTGTGCGTGCTGTGTGTAGTGAGTGTACTGTGTGGGGTGAGTGAGTGTACTGTGGGTGCTGTGCGTACTGTGTGTAGTGAGTGTACTGTGTGGGGTGAGTGAGTGTACTGTGGGTGCTGTGCGTACTGTGTGTAGTGAGTGTACTGTGTGGGGTGAGTGAGTGTACTGTGTGGGGTGAGTGTGCTGTGCGTGCTGTGTGTAGTGAGTGTACTGTGTGGGGTGAGTGAGTGTACTGAGTGTAGTGAGTGTACTGTGTGGGGTGAGTGAGTGTACTGTGTGTGGTGAGTGTACTGAGTGTGCTGTGCGTGGTGTGTGTAGTGAGTGTACTGTGTGGGGTGAGTGAGTGCACTGTGTGGGGTGAGTGTACTGAGTGTGCTGTGCGTGCTGTGTGTAGTGAGTGTACTGTGTGGGGTGAGTGAGTGTACTGAGTGTAGTGAGTGTACTGTGTGGGGTGAGTGAGTGTATTGTGTGTGGTGAGTGTACTGAGTGTGCTGTGCGTGGTGTGTGTAGTGAGTGTACTGTGTGTAGTGAGTGTACTGAGTGTGCTGTGCGTGGTGTGTGTAGTGAGTGTACTGTGTGGGGTGAGTGAGTGTACTGAGTGTAGTGAGTGTACTGTGTGGGGTGAGTGAGTGTACTGTGTGGGGTGAGTGAGTGTACTGTGTGGGGTGAGTGTACTGAGTGTGCTCTGTGTGCTGTGTGTAGTGAGTGTACTGTGTGGGGTGAGTGAGTGTACTGTGTGGGGTGAGTGTACTGAGTGTGCTCTGTGTACTGAGTGTAGTGAGTGTACTGTGTGGGGTGAGTGAGTGTACTGTGTGGGGTGAGTGAGTGTACTGTGTGGGGTGAGTGTACTGAGTGTGCTGTGCGTGCTGTGTGTAGTGAGTGTACTGTGTGGGGTGAGTGAGTGTACTGTGTGGAGTGAGTGTACTGAGTGTGCTGTGCGTGCTGTGTGTAGTGAGTGTACTGTGTGGGGTGAGTGAGTGTACTGTGTGGGGTGAGTGAGTGTACTGTGTGGGGTGAGTGAGTGTACTGTGTGGGGTGAGTGAGTGTACTGTGTGGAGTGAGTGTACTGAGTGTGCTGTGCGTGGTGTGTGGGGCAGTACTTGACCTTCGTGCTCCACACCGTGGTTCGCGGATTCATCCACTCTGCTTGCGGGGGTCTCTACGCTGCCGTGTGAGTACCAATCCCTCACTCACGTGAGTCCCAATCCCTCACCGTGAGTGAGTGAGTCCCAATCCTTCACCGTGAGTGAGTGAGTCCCAATCCTTCACCGTGAGTGAGTGAGTCCCAATCCCACACCCACGTGAGTGAGTGAGTCCCAATCCTTCACCGTGAGTGAGTGAGTCCCAATCCCACACCCACGTGAGTGAGTGAGTCCCAATCCTTCACCGTGAGTGAGTGAGTCCCAATCCTTCACCGTGAGTGAGTGAGTCCCAATCCCACACCCACGTGAGTGAGTGAGCCCCAATCCTTCACCCGCGTGAGTGAGCCCCAACCCCTCACCGTGAGTGCCAATCCCTCACCAATGCTTTCCACGTAAGTACATCTGTGTGATCGTTTATATGCATGCCTCTGTGCATCTGTATGAGTACATCTGTGAGTATTTACTTGAGAACCCGTGTGTGTACCTGTGTGATGACCTGATTGAGTATCTTTGTGGGTACCTGAGTGTGTGTCTGTACCCCACCTGTGTAAGTACCTGTGTGTGTGTGTGTGTCTGCAGGTACCCGTCGTCTCACTTCGGGAGTCTCACGGGGCTGCAGTCCCTGGCGAGCGCCGTGTTCGCGCTGCTGCAGCAGCCGCTCTTCATGGCCGTGCAGGGCCCCCTCGGCGGAGACCCCTACTGGGTCACACACTCACCACATACTCACCACACACTCACCACACACTCACTCACCACCACACACTCACCACTACACTCACTTAGCACACACTCACCACCACACACTCACCACACACTCACCACTATACTCACCACTACACTCACTAACCACCATACACTCACCAATACACTCACTCACCACACACTCACTCACCCATCACTCAAACACACTCACACCATACGCACCACTGCACTCACCACTCACTCACAACACACTCACTCACCACACACTCACTCACCGCACACTCACTCACCCCACACTCAAATACACTCACCCCATACTCACCCCATACTCACCCCAAATATCCCCCGTATCGCCTGTAACAGACTGTAGGGGCAAGTGCTGTTAGCGAGTAGCACCTATGAAGGCCGGCACGGCACACGAGGGGGTGGATGGCCAGCACTGCACCCGGCCCGCCTTTGTCTCCCCAGTGGCGATGTTTACACACCGCACCAGGCACTCATTTGAGGCTGAGTCGACCTAGGGGAGGCCCAGGATCGGTACAGATAATCGTTAGTCCATCATTCACCGCACACTCACTAACATGCCTCCCTCCATCTCGGTTTCTCAGTCCATCATTCACCGCACACTCACTAACATGCCTCCCTCCATCTCGGTTTCTCAGTCCATCATTCACCGCACACTCACTAACATGCCTCCCTCCACCTCGCCCTTCAAGCCAGCTGACCGTCACGCTCGCCCCGCTCCCCTCCTTCCCGCGCAGGTGAACGTGGGGTTGCTGGCGCTGTCCCTGCTGGGCTTCTGCCTCCCCGCGTACCTCTTCTCCTTCAGCCGTGGACTCAAGAAGAAGCAGAGACTCATGGCCACGGACTCGGGGTCCCCGGTCCCCCTCACAGAGATCCCCTCATGGCATGGGACCACAGAGGCAGATGATCCTCACGCGTGATCGCCACCACCACCATCACCACCACCATCACCACCACCATCACCACCACGATCAATGTCATCACGAACATCATCACCATTATAATCACTGTCATCGCCATCACCACCACCACCACCATGATCAATGTCATCACGAACATCATCACCATTATAATCACTGTCATCGCCACCACCACCACCACCATGATCAATGTCATCACGAACATCATCACCATTATAATCACTGTCATCGCCATCGCCATCATCACCCTCATCACTGCCATCATCACCATCTTCATCAGCCCAAACATTCCAGCGGATGATGTGCATGATATCTCATAGATGTTTCATTCACCTTCCATTCATCAATCACTCACCTCTCATTTCGCATTTCATTCAATGCCATTTACATTTCAATCATCGTTCAAATTTTGAATGACGCGTCATTCACCTTTCATTCGTCAATCATTTACCTAATTTACCACATTTCATTCGCTGTCATTCATCAGTCATTCATCGCCGGCCATTCATCAGTCTTTCAAGCGCCCTTCACCTGGCACCTCTGAGCGCCACCAGTCTCACGGGGCGAGGAGCTGGGGCTGCGCTTGCGAGCGGTGGCGGCGTCTGGACCGGGCGGTCGCCTCCCGGATCGGTGGCTCCTCAACGCTGCAGCGGCACTTATTCACATTCCCTCCGCCTAGGAATTAGAGCTCCCTCCTTTACTTTCCAGTTGAGCTACACGCGCCTATATATACGCACAACGGCATTGTTAATGTAACACGGTATATACACATGGTGTAATGTGTGCCGTGGCGTCACGCGGAACTTGCAGTTCAGATGACGCCGCTCCGATCTCCCGGTGCGGAAGTTGAAACATTGGGACAGTGTCAAGGGGCCCAGTGCCCATGACCATCGAGACCCATGGCCCATCACCCAGAAGGGTGTGTGGAGTCTTGGCCGAGGGTGTATGATGTGTGGTTTAACACGTTAGTTCACAGCCAATATTACGAATCATGGCTGATTTTCCCACTGACGCGTCATAACGATCTCACCATATTCCCGTCGTGAACTCTCCATCACCCCACCCAGTGCGTTAAAGCGCGTGTACACGTGACAATGTCATAGCTTGGCTGTGTCGGGTGGAGGAGGGTTCACGACACAAGGTCATTGCGTGGCCCACCCTCTAAACTAGGCACGCAGCCATTCTTTTCCCGATCCCACCTCACGTGTTTGCGTCTCGTGTTCGTTGACGCATAGTTTGTGTTATTTTCTATATTTCTGTCGAGGAAATGAGGCTTTTGCATAGGTATCACTTTTCACGGCTGTTAAATACGTAGTCGATTCGATATTGCACCGCGAGCTTACGAATCGGTTTTAATCGATGAAGTATTAGACGCACAAACTCCTCCTCCCGAGTGTTTCAGAGAGAGATGATATTGTACATGAATAGGGGGAGCACAGAGGCCGATAACAGATGGGAAGAACTCAAACCAGATGCAGGTGGTGATGAGATTGATAAGAGCAGTCTTTGAAACAACTTAACTGTGTAAAGCAAGAGCTGACCTTGGTGGTTGCAACAACTGTAGCATCTAGTGCAAGGAAGTGAGTAATGGTGAGATGTGGTGGCATCACCGGCATTGGCGGTGAAGCCACGCTCATCTTGCTCAAGCGAATCACAAACCAGGACGAAGCTGGTGATTGTTCTGTTGTTGGGGACAGTCGCTCGACATGTGATGGAGGCAATGTGGAGGAGGCTGGGGTGAGTCGAGTTTATTTATGACAACGGCCATGGTCATGGATACCCACTCTGGGACTCCATCTCAAAACTTCTCATGCGTGGTCCCATCATTGGGAGCTCGACGAGGAGGCCAGACTCCAGTAGACTCCTCCAGTCTCCAGCAGAGGGCGGTAGCGAGCCACAAAGCTGGCACGCAGGCAGGCCCCCGCCACCAGACCATCCAGAGTTGATTTCCCTGCCATCACAAAGGTAGATATACTCTTCTGGAGAGGTCAGGTCAACGTGTCCATCAAGGGTTGACGTGCCCACCCAAGTACGATCGCAATGCACAATGGAACCTAAGCAGTTCCGTGGCCCGAATTTCGAGAGATGCCCTGCAATTTTTTTTTTATCAACGACAGGTCCATGGCGATGGCTGTCAACAGTTGCCTCCATCACCGGCGTGACCCCGAGTAAATGTTGAGGTTGAGACCCACTTTCTCAAAGCGCTTCTCTGATGCCCCTGAGGGCTTCGGAGCATTGCTCTCGAAAGCGACGAGGACATCGAGTGGAAGGCGAGTCGACCCGAGCCCCACGGCTTGGGAACAAAATCAAAGTGTTTGCGTGCGGTGAGTGGCCTGAGGGGTCAGGGGTTGTGACTTGACCTCCACGGGAGTGTTATTCATAAAGATGTATTTAATATGCCGCCCGTGTCCCCGTGTCGTGCTAGCCACTGTGGCAGATACCTTCACAACCAGACGATTGCTGCACTCGAAGCAAATGGCCGGTTGCATGAGACACATTGAGTGGCATCTCCACTGCGTTCGTCACTGACATGAGGCCAGGCGAAGAGGGACGCGTCACTTGAGGAGTGTGATGGAAGAAGAGGATTCCTCAAGCCGCACCTCCACCAGCCTCACCTCACCCTCGCCAGACACATTCACCTCACCCTAGTAGTCAGCTCACCCTAGTAGTCAGCTCACCCTAGCATCCACCTCACCCTCGCGTCCACCTCACCCTCTCATCCACCTCCCCCTAGCGTCCACCTCACCCTTTCATCCACCTCACCCTCACATCCACCTCACCCTCGCGTCCACCCCACAGGGCCCTCCTGATCTAGTGGACGACTCCCTCAGGACTCAACGCGCCCCTGAAGGTGCCGATGGGAGAGTCACGGACCAGGACCCCCACATTGTTCCCCTCACGGTTTAACCCACTCGGATCGATCTGTTATCAGATTATAAGGGACGCCTGAAGGCCCTCTCGAGGTATAACAAGATCGATAAGCATACACACCGCGTCCCCTTCACATACCCGTCTCTCCACATACAAAGAGAAATATAAAAGTAATTCTAACACAACCCATGATCACAAGGGCCTTCTGGGAGTGCATCATTTCAGCAGTATTGATTCAGCACAAGCAAACTCCTGAACCGGTTTTGACGTTCAGTGTCTCACCAGCAGAGCCAGGCTTCGCTTGAATCAATTCTGGTGAACTTGTCGGATGTTGTTTGGCAAGAGACCTCTCCCCTCTCTCTGTCAGATGATGGGTCCTGGGTCAATGTCACGAATGCCGAACGGCGCTTCTCAGATCCCAGTGGGGTTGGAATGACGGGCCCGGCGACAGCTGCAAGTCCCGCTCTGGGTGATCGTCACCCGCCACCCCGTGCCGGGTGACGGTCCCCTTGCTCCTCGGGCAGGGAGCACGGGGGGGTGGTGGTGGTGGGGTGGTGGTGGTGGAGTGGTGGTGGTGTGGTGGTGTGGTGGTGGTGGGGGGGTGGTGGTGAGGTGGTGGTGTGGTGGTAGTGGTGTGGTGGTGAGGTGGTGGTGTGGTGGTGGTGTTGTGGTGGTGGTGGGGTGATGGAGTGGTGGTGTGGTGGTGTGGTGGTGGTGTGGTAGTGGTGTGATAGTGGTGGTGAGGTGGTGGTGTGGTGGTGGTGGGGTGGTGGAGTGGTGGTGTGCTAGTGGTGGTGTGGTGGTGGTGGTGAGGTGATGGTGAGGTGGTGGTGTGGTGGTGGTGGGGTGGTGGGGTGGTGGAGTGGTGGTGTGGTGGTGGTGTGGTGGTGGTGGGGTGGTGGAGTGGTGGTGTGCTAGTGGTGGTGGTGTGGTGGTGGTGTGGTGGTGTGGTGGTGGTGTGGTGGTGGGGTGGTGGAGTGGTGGTGTGCTAGTGGTGGTGGTGTGGTGGTGGTGTGGTGGTGGTGGTGGTGAGGTGGTGGTGTGGTGGTGGTGTGATGGTGGTGGGGTGGTGGAGTGGTGAGGTGGTGGTGTTGTGGTGGTGGGGTGGTGGAGTGGTTGTGTGGTAGTGGTGGTGTGGTAGTGGTGATTAGGTGGTGGTGTGGTGGTGGTGTGGTGGTGGTGTGGTGGTGGTGGTGTGGTGGTGGTTTTGTGGTGGTGTGGTGGTGGTGGCGTGGTGGTGGTGGTGTGGTAGTGGTGGTGAGGTGGTGGTGTTGTGGTGGTGGGGTGGTGGAGTGGTGGTGTGGTAGTGGTGGTGTGGTAGTGGTGGTGAGGTGGTGGTGTGGTGGTGGTGTGGTGGTGGTGGTGTGGTGGTGGTGGTGTGGTGGTGTTGTGGCGGTGTTGTGGCGGTGGTGTGGTGGTGGTTTTGTGGTGGTGGTGGTGGTGAGGTGGTGGTGTTGTGGTGGTGGGGTGGTGGAGTGGTGGTGTGGTAGTGGTGGAGTGGTAGTGGTGGTGAGGTGGTGGTGTGGTGGTGGTGGTGTGTGGTGTGGTGGTGTGGTGGTGGTGTGGTGGTGGTGTTGTGGTGGTGGTGTGGTGATGGTGGTGTTGTGGTGGTGGTTTGGTGGTGTTGTGGTGGTGGTGTGGTGGTGGCGTGGTGGTGGTGGAGTGGTAGTGGTGGTGAGGTGGTGGTGTTGTGGTGGTGGGGTGGTGGAGTGGTGGTGTGGTAGTGGTGGTGTGGTAGTGGTGGTGACGTGGTGGTGTGGTGGTGGTGGTGGTGGTGTGGTGTGGTGGTGGTGTGGTGGTGGTGTGGTGGTGGTGTTGTGGTGGTGGTGTGGTGATGGTGGTGTTGTGGTGGTGGTTTGGTGGTGTTGTGGTGGTGGTGGTGTGGTGGTGTGGTGTTGTGGTGGTGGTGTGGTAGTGGTGTGGTAGTGGTGTGGTAGTGGTGTGGTAGTGGTGGTGGTGTGGTAGTGTTGGTGGTAGTGGTGGTGTGGTGGTGGTGGTGTGGTTAGTGGTGGTGCGGTGGTGGTGGTGTTGTGGTGGTGGTTTGGTGGTGGTGTGGTGGTGTTGTGGTGGTGGGGTGGTAGTGTTGGTGGTAGTGGTGGCGTGGTGGTGTGGTGGTGGTTGTGTGGTGGTGGTGGTGTTGGTGGTGGTGTTGTGGTGGTGTAGTGGTGGGTCGGGCCCCGTGGCCGCGGCTCCCATTCCTCCCGGCGGGTGGCGCTCGGCTCGGGGTGCGCAGGCGGCGCGGCTGCAGCATGAACATGGCGCCACGTCGCGCACAAGTTGCCGCTCGCGGCTGCGCAACACTTTTCTCGCCGCCGCCGCAGCCGCAGCAGCAGCCGCAGCAGCCGCTCGCATAAACTTTGTCCGCTTGCTGTGGCCGCGTCGAGGCTTGGGGGATGAGTCCGGCGAGGTGGGGCCGAGGCGGCCCGGCCGCGAGCTGAGAGGAGGCGGAGGAGGAGGAGGCGGGGAGAGCGGCAGAGGGACGAGGGACGACGCGGCGCCTTTCTCCACCCCATGGAACGCCTCAAGTTGCGAGCTCCGGCCGCCGCCGCCGCTGAGGAGGAGGAGGAGGTAGGTTTGGGCCTCGGGTACCGGGGAACCCCTCGGAAGCCCTGGGGGGGGGGGGACCCCAAGGGGCCCCCTCTCGGCCGCGCACCGGGGGTCCCTTGTCCCCCTCGTCTCGCAAGATCTACCGCGACGGGGGAACAATGGGGGCGCGGGTTTGAGGGACCGTTCCTGCTCCATAACAAAGAGCCAGGGGCCAAGTGCATGGAGGTGGTGGTAGTGGGGATGACGACGATGGTGGTGGTTGTGAGGGGGTGGTGATGGGTGAGTGCTCATTGTCCGCGAAGTCGTGTTGGATGGGGGGTGGGGTGGGGGGGCGCAATCAGGAGATGGAACTCCAAGTGAGGGTGAGGGCACAAGTGTTGAGTGATTCAGTTCCCCTTTTATTGTTTCATGATCACGACAGACGTGGCCTGGGCAGGGGGTGGGTGGGGGGGGGTCGTGTGGCCTCCGTGTGACTCGAGGGGTTCCCTGTGGGCACTCCTCTGACTGCGCGCCTTGACGTGGTGTGCCGCGCGCCATCCGCTGAGAGCGCCGCGGGGTCTCTACCCCCCAAACCCCGCTTCACCGAGAGAGAGAGAAACATTATATATATTATATATACTATATATAATTATATATATTATATATACTATATATAATTATATATATTCTATAAATACCCCTCCGGAAATCGCTGGAATACAGGAACGCATTTGTTTGCGGCGCCTTCTCGTCGCCCCCGCGGGCCTCTCCGGCACGACGCCCGCGCGCGATCCTAAATATAGCGGCCCCCCCCCTCTCCTGCCCCCCCCCCCTCTCTCCTGCCCCCCCTTCTCTCATGCCCCCCCCCTCTCTCTCTCCTGCCCCCCCTTCTCTCATGCCCCCCCTCTCTCATGCCCCCCTCTCTCCTGCCCCCCCTCTCTCTACTGCCCCCCCTCTCTCCTGCCACCCCCTCTCTCCTGCCCCCCCCCTTCTCTTATGCCCCCCCCTCTCTCTCTCCTGCCCCCCCTTCTCTCCTGCCCCCCCCCCTCTCTCTACTGCCCCCCCCCTCTCCTGCCCCCCCCGCCCCTCTCTCTACTGCCCCCCCCCTCTCTACTGGCAGGGGGGGGCAGGGTCCCCCCCCCTCTCTCTCCTGCCCCCCCCCCTCACTCTACTGCCCCCCCCTCTCTCTACTGGCAGGCGGGGGGCAGGGGGGGGGGGCAGGGTCCCATCGCCTGCACTGGTAGAGAACCTGGCTCCAGAGGGCCCCTCACACAGACCCACCTCACACAGACCCCTCACACAGACCCCCACACACAAACCCCCACACACAGACCCCTCACACAGACCCCCTCACACAGACCCCCTCACACAGACCCCCTCACACAGACCCCCTCACACAGACCCCTCACACAGACCCCCTCACACAGACCCCCTCACACAGACCCCTCACACAGACCCCTCACACAGACCCCTCACACAGACCCCTCACACAGACCCCGTCACACAGACCCCCACACACAGACCCCTCACACAGACCCCCTCACACAGACCCCATCACACAGACCCCCACACACAGACCCCTCACACAGACCCCCTCACACAGACCCCCTCACACAGACCCCCTCACACAGACCCCTCACACAGACCCCCTCACACAGACCCCCTCACACAGACCCCCTCACACAGACCCCCTCACACAGACCCCCTCAGCTGCTGCAGCCCCACTGGAGGCAGCGGTGTGGTGTGGTTGGCACGGGCCCTGGCTCAAGTTGTTAAATGGGGACACGTCCGTCCAGTTGCCCTCCCTTTCCCTTGCTGCCTCGTGGCCCAGCACCCCTGTGGTCCATTACACTTGGCCCAGTTGCACCGTCACCTCCATTGGCGGGGCCCTGTTGTCATTTTCGTGACGCATTCGAAAGTACTAATGTGTATTCCTCTTTCATTTAAAACGATGTAAATTAAATTACATATCAGGTGTGTTGTGCAACTGGACATTGGGTGTCAGAACCACTTACCAGGACCTGGGACCCAACTCTGATCCTCTGCCGGTGGGGTCCAGGGTCCCAGGGCTACTCACTGACCATGAGCCAGGCTTCATGTCACCACCATTGGCTGGGCCCCATATGAGCCAACGGTAGCCTCGTACAAGAGACCTCGGAAGTTTATAGTTCTCCGAAACCTGATGATTGGTATCGGCGATCTAGGAGGTTGATAGATGTGCACACGTCTCACACACGTAGGTGCTGGACACCTGCCAGAGGCTCGGTGCACGAGTGCATTGTTTGAAATTAATAATGAAACTTTATTCCAAGTTTAAGAAATACTGCGAGTATAATTTATGGCCTACAAATAAACATCGTGGAATGCTCTTTGGCGTGAGCGAGGCAGCTGCACTTAAAGCGCGCCCTGGTCGGGAGGCGGCAGAGTTGGGGGTCAGGGTTCCACTTGGCCCAGTTGCTCATTCTGAGTTGTGCTGTCTTTCTTGGCTACACCTGCTCACTGTGTCTGGCTGTTTCTGTACCTTGTGTCCAGCGGTGACGACAGTGTGTGTGACGATTCTCAAAGGCTGTGCCCATCTGTGTCTGCAGTTTGCTTTTGGCTGTTGCTGAATGCTGTTTCTAGCTGTGGAGGTTGTGTTTGGCCCTGCTGCTTATATCTAACTGTGCCTGCAGATTGTTCACAACTGTACTTGTAAGCCGCCTGGCTCTACCATGCAGCTTTTGCTCGGCTGTAGTTGCGCGTTGTTGTTCGTACCTGCTCGTTTTGTTGGGTTGCTGCTGAAGGCTTTGCCTGGCTGTATCTTCAGGCTGCGTCTGGTCGTGTTAGCAGCCTCTGTCTGGCCGTACGTAAAGCTTGTGCTCGGCTGTATTTGTAGGTTTTGATTGTGCATGCTCGCTGTGTTTGGCTGTATCCGCAGGCTGTGTCTGCCTGTACGTGACAAGCCGTGCCACGCTCTTTGTCGTTCCAGGACTGCGACCCTCCAGATGCTGAAAGTGGCGCCGGCGGCGGCGGCGATGCCGACGTTGCTGCGCCGTGCACGAGCAGCACGGGAACGACGGTGCCTGGCGGGAAGGGAGCCCTGGCGGAGCGGGTGCGAGCGGCGGGCGTCGCGTGCCAGGCCGGTGACTTTGCCGGTGCCGTGCGGCTCTACGGGGAGGCGGTGGCCATGAGCCCCCAGAACTGTGCCCTCTATTGCAACCGCTCGGCTGCGCTGGCGCGGATGGGTCAGCACCAGCGTGCGCTCCAGGACGCCGAGACGGCGCAGCGCATCAACCCGCGTTTCCCAAAGGTGAGCGAAGGCGGTGGTGATGGGCAGTCATCTTGGTCAGTCAATCCATGGCACCTGGATCTGTCCCGTGACCTCTTCTGCCAGTAGGCGTTCGACACTTCACGTGGCCTTAATGTGCACATAGCCTGGCACAAACACCGTGGTGACGTCACCGCCACTTAGTGGCGAATGGCAGTTGTTGTTGTTGGTGGGACAGTGCTCATGATGTGGTTCGTGTTTCGAGAAGTGGGTGACCAATGCAGGCTCCGTGGCGACTATCCGGTCTCTCTTTGCACTTCGGCTGATCAGTGTTTGCGTTGATAGATATGAGTGTATTCACTTGTGGTATCATGTATTAAAATCGATTCTCATGCTCATGATATACACGATCAAATTGTGCGTGGGACAGTTGATATTTTAAATGTATTTCTAATGAATATTTGTGTCACAGAAGTCCCTACAGATTCTACATTCACCACAGTGGTGAAAAACTGTGATTTATTTAATCAAATTGTGACTTTTTTTGAGAATTGATTGAAATGTGAGGACGGTGAATCGTTATATGCCTGTCAAACAGTTTTAATTGCAATGGGATGTTTGCGGCAGATGCAAAGTCTCTCAATAATCATTTACAGCATTTTGCCAATAGACTGCTGGATAAAGGCCTCCCCGCGCTGTCAGTCATGGGGGTTATAGTGGTCAATGTATGTATGTTGAACTTCTTTCGCACCGTACGTAGCCAACCGTGCTAATCAGAGGTGCGGTGCAGGATGGTGAAGGGGGGGGGGTTGGGCCCACAAATGTGTTTTGATGCAATTTGTCACTCAAGTCAGCCATGTCTGGGAATCCAACTCAAGTCATCGGGTTTATTGCTTACCACTGCTCCGCCACTCCACCCTGCTTTCTCATGAGGAGGACCAAAAATAAAGAGTGGTTTTACACTTAATTAAGCATCTGCAGTGCTCACTTTCTTTGTACAGTCCTGATTTATGGAGAAAATTCCACATTTTTATGACAGAAGTAAGCCACGGAAAAGGATATCCACTCTTGAATTTGCACAAAGTGGTACATATTTTGTCTACCCCAGAGGGATACAGGGCTGAGTTGACCCCCAAGCGAGATTCGAACTTGGAACCTTGTGATGTCGGGATGTGTGCTCCCACCGCTGTATCACCTGGCTATTTAAAAGTGGGTCTTGGTCACCATTAACGAATCGGAATGTGGGCCTCACTGTCAAGCTCTGTACACACAGTTCGTTCAGCCTCGCTTCTGTGTTGAACTCTGACCTCACTGGAGAGAATTGCACCGAATTGTCATGGGACGTACTCTGCTGCGTGGACATATGTGTGCAGACAGCGGCACTCTCCTGCACATGTTCACTACATTTGCTGGATATGGTGTGCCGTTTGTATAAATATTTTTTTACGGGTCGCCAACCCGGACAGACGCGGCTGAAATTAATCCCAGGCCGTAGCCGAATGCGAAGCGGGGTTTTGTCCCGTGGCCACGAGACTCGGCAAGCGGAGGCCGGCGGCGGTTAACGGTGTTCCACACAGGGTGCCGTTGCTTTTTCTTGACAATGGCGGTTGTGGTGTCGCCTCTGTTGCGACGGTGCTCGTGGTGCCAACAGAGACCGGCATTCCCACTGCGTTGCCGGGTATTCCCGGGCTGTTACTGAGGCCAGGTAACTGTGGCTGAAAATATCTCTTACAGCCTTGGCTCTCTCCCTCTGCTTGTACGCACAGACGCTCAGGACACTTACCCGCGCTCAACGAACACACACATCCGTCTCTGTCTGTGCTCCGTGGGAATGCCCTTTTGCCAAACAATGCCCTGAGTAAGTGCGGTGATTTATTTGGTGAACAGCGTTTATGTGGCTCGCTATTTCCGTGCACATTGTTGTTGTGGTGCCATTTTTTTACACGACGGATGGGATTGTGCTCTGTCGGAAGCGGAGTTTTCACGAGCCAGGGAGTAGGAGAGGCAGTTGAGACCGGCGCTCCTCACGCATGGAACCTTCACCCAGCCCCAACTCCACCTTCAGGCTTCTCCCTGTGCCCTCTGTGCGAAAGGCACGAGGCTGCTCTAGTGTATCCTGCGCGTGTGTGAGCGTGTGGGTCGGCAGCCGAGCAGACGTGAGCAAGCAGCACGCTTGACTTGACGTTTCCCTCTGTTGGTTTTTTTCTTGATAATTGTTGGGTGGTATTTTATTAACATTATTGCGATAGAGGTGAGGAGTGGTGGTGCAGTGCTAAGCATGCTGCACTTTGAACCCGGCAAGGAGTTAACACCAGTGGCGAGTGATATCTGAATCAGTCCTGCTATACCAACCTGCACCTCGCCAGACAATAGTCAAACAACCCCCACGATCGACATGGCATTGGAAGGCCTTCATTCAGCAGTGCATTGGCAAAGGGGCTGTAAATCATTATTACATTGTTTTTATTACTTTGTGGTGGTTGGCTTTTCACATTAAATTAAAACTGTTTATTTTCTTTTGAGGCCCATGCCAGTGCTGTGATGGGTGATTGCACCATGCGAACGGGAGACTTGGGATGAATGGAGAGACCTGCGATGAGATGGGGAGACCTGAGACAAAGATTTGGGCAAAAAACCAACAGCGTTCGGCGCGGGGTCTGTGCAGGAGGAGTGCACGTGGCGAGGGTTCAGGAGCAGTGTGCAGCGGTGGGTCTTCGGCGTGGGGGGGGGCGGCAGTTGGTCCGGGGCACGGGGCAGGCGTGAGCATGAGAGATCAGGGGAGAACAAGCCGTGACTTGAAAGGAATTCTGCGCTTGACCCACCCGGTAGGCAAGGTGTTCCCCGGGGAGGGAGCCGGGAGACGCGGGGCGCGGGGGGCCAAGAGGGGGGGGGGGTGCATTGCCGGCGTTGAGTGTTTAAGCAGCGCTTCACGGCTCACCTCCTCTCTCCTGGCGATGGTGGATGTGAGGCTTCTTTGGCTCACAGGCCAGCCTGCTCGCTTGCGCCGCGGCTTAAGAGGAAGCCCTGGGAACCGTCTTGGCCTTTAGCCCGGCCCTGAGCTTGCGTTCCAGCCTCCTGGGGGGGTGCGCCGCGGGGGTTTGGCTGGGAGGAGGCCGCAGGTGCTGGTGAGCTGCGCTCGCTGTGATCCGCGGCACGAAATCGGAGAGGCGCAGCCAGGAGGAGGGAAATGGAGCGGTTCGTCATCGACCAGCGGTGCCTCCCAGTCCATGCGGCGGGCCATGGACCACTGATCTTGCACAGTGCTGTGCGAAATGGTCTGCAAAATTGTCGCAGACACGACGATGTTTCCACAAGACACTTTATTATTATGTATTTACTCACCATTGTGCGTATACTTAGGTTGGTGATTAAAAAGCAAGTGAGACTTTTCATGCCGTTGTAATTAACGTTATACAGCACTTTCATGCACAAATAGCACCGTTTTTATAAAACGGTGCTATTTGTGCATGGTGCTCTGCGATAAATGTCGTTGAGGGCCAACATGAAACCTCTTAGGGTTTTCACGCGTATCATTGTAAATATGTAATGAATAGTACTTAACGTGTATATTTATATTTTACTGTAGATGTGTTTAATATTACATTCATCATCCTCATCATGAGGCCTGCTCCCCAAGCCGTCACCATCAATCGGGGTCCTGCGATGCACCCATTCATCTGGCAGCGTGCGAGCACCGTCTGATTTTAAGCAAACTTATTTTGTAAACAATCAACGTTGGTACCCCGAGCGATCGACTTCGTCTCGCAGTGGAATCGATTTTCCCACAAGTTTATCTGGGGGCGCTGCTGGCTCTGATTATGGGTTCCTCGAGCAATTTCTAATTTACAGCTCCCTCCTCGCCTGTGGACGGAGGCGAGGGCGTTTCAGCGCGAGCACGTGTTTGCATTAACGCGGCGCTTGCGTCCGTCTCCAAGAGCGAGATGCTCGTCGTTTTATGGTCGTCCTGTTTCTTTACGTGAGCCGTGGGAGCGGTGGTTCTTTCGACTCGCACGGAATGTTGCACTTGACTTGGTGCGAGCTGCCGAGTGCGAGGGGGATGCGCGGTTTGACTTTGTGTGGGGTGGATGGGTTGGTGGTAGTGCGGGCCGATATTGCCTATTGCAAGCTCGGTGGTGTGTTGGTAGTACAGGCTGGGAGGATTGTTCGTAGTGCAGGATGTGTTGGCAAATGTAATTCAGAGTGGGTGGGGGCTGGTAGTGCAGGATGTATACGTGTGTCTTCCTGACTGGGAGCGCTGTTGGTAGTGCAGCTCGGTGTGGTGGTGGCTACGTGTGTGGTGGTGGTAGTGCAGCTCGGTGTGGTGGTGGCGGTGGCTACGTGTGTGGTGGTGGTAGTGCAGCTCGGTGTGGTGGTGGCGGCGGCTACGTGTGTGGTGGTGGTAGTGCAGCTCGGTGTGGTGGTGGCGGCGGCTACGTGTGTAATGGACGTGAGCCGTGGCGTGGGGGCACACGGCATCGCAGCTCCATCTCTCGTTGTGTTTGGTTCCTGGGATCACCGTGTCACCGTGTATCCCTGGCGCTTCTCCCCTCTCCCCCGCCGCGTATCGCTTCTGATCTCGGCTGCGCTCAAACACCGCGACTGATCCTGGGAGCCAACCGCTGTGTTTTATTCACCACGTGGGAATGGATGAACGCGCCACGGGGGAGACGCGGCCGGGTTGGTTTCGCGCGGAATCACACGTCGCGCACTGTATGTACAGTGCACATACTGTATGTACAGTGCACATACTGTATGTACAGTGCACATACTGTATGTGCAGTGCACATACTGTATGTGCAGTGCACATACTGTATGTACAGTGCATATACTGTATGTACAGTGCATATACTGTATGTACAGTGCGCATATTGCAGAAGGTTTTAATGAAGGGCACGGATGAGTTTGGAGCGGTGTGGGGCACGGCCGGAGGGCATCGCGAACATTGGCAGGGATGAGGGAAGGTGGTGGGGGGGCATGCGCGCTGGGTGCACTGCCAGGCTCGGTGGCGGTGGTGGTGGTGGCGGCGTGGGGGTTTCCCGTCA